ATACATATGTATTTGTTATTTAATTTTATTTTTAGGGACTTTCAATAGTATGTATAATATAATAATTTTTTTATGAGATATAATATAGTTTGGAGTTTTGTTTGCTTTATGAAATTTTGTTTTCGATCATTGGGTTCTCTGTAAAGTGGGGATTGAAAGCGTTGAAATGAATAAATATCAATTAAGTTTAAAGAGCAAAAAGGGCGTAATTGTAATTGGAGACAACTGGTTTTTTGGACATCAAATTTCAAGCCTACATGGTCTTAATCAAGCAAATACAAATTTTTTTTTTCTTTTTTCAACTACCAAATTAAGTAAATAAGCTTTTGTTTTTTTGGAAAATGAAATGGAATTACGGAAATAAGTAATGAAAAAATAAAAATGATGATGTATTGCACACTTTTTGTAATACAATGGTAGTCTGTATTTAAATCTACAAAGATGCAAAAATAGAAATAGATGGTAAAATCTTGTTAGTGATTATTACAAATCATATTATATATGATCTTTCTATACAAATAATTATTCTATTTTTAAATTTTACCTTGCCGAAAAATTAAAAAGGTTCTCTCTCATCCAGCCCTCCACGTTGAGAAGCCTCAAGTTTTGTTTATTTTTATTTTAAATTCTTTTTTATTTTTTATATGTATGCTAGCAAATTATAATTATTTATTAAAGAAAAACAAAGAATCAAATTATAATATTTGTTTTGATATTTACGTATATAATCTAAATTCAAATTATATATATTTTCTGTGTAATGTAATATCTTATACGTAATATAAGTTAAATCGATAATTTATAATAATAATTATTACTATTACCTTCCATTCACTTTTTTTTTTACATGTTTATTCTTTTTCTTCTTCGTTTGTTTTTATTTTATGCATTTGATGCTTGTCCAAAAATAGCAATCACTCGATTCTTCTATGTTTTTAATGTTAAGAAAATAATCATTATATTTCAAAAAATATTATATCTATATAGTAGTTACGAGTCAGACTTATTAGTACTCTGGGCATATTTAACCTTATTTTAATTTCATTCAATTAAATAAATAGTCAAATGGATGCTTTCTTTTGGTTACATTATCTATTAAAAATTGTATGGGACGACCCATGAGATATCTATATGACTATATTTATATTTTCCTAATTTTTTTTGACATTTTTATATGGAATATATATCTTAGCCCATTGAGTTATGCTTGAGTTAACGTATATTTTCTCTTTTTAGTTATAAGTTTGATCATTATTCTCCCCTTTTGTTATGTTTTCTTATGATTGGATTATTTAAATATATATATATATATATATATATATATATAACTTGATTTTTAAAAAAGAGTATTAGTATTATTTGTTATTCAAGTTTATGATTCTTCAATATGATGAAATTAAAATTTCACAATGTTCTTAATCTACAAATTTAGGGGGAAAATGAATTTAAATTGTTTTAGTCTCGAAGATACGATTAAAAAATTTTAGTTTACTCAGCTATAGATTACACCGTCGGTAAGATTAGTAAACTTTTTTTAAAAAATATAATATAATAATTTAATTAAAATTAAAACATTTCATAAAAAGAAACTAATTTATGAAAAATAAAAATTTTTTGGAAAAGTAAATATAAAGAGTATGAAAATTTTGGCGTGTTCGATTCGTTCCGGATATTTAGGGTAGCATTGAATGTCAGTGAAGTCCTACCAGATTTGCTAGGAGGGCATTCATTTCTGGGGACAGATGGGTAATTTTAAATGGTCTTTGATCTTCCTTTGACAAAAACGGCCCCATCAAAACCTTGTGGGGTCCATCTTCGCCATTCACCACTTATAGTGGAATGGCAACTCTTCATCTCGCTTTGACACGTGGCCTCCCTCCTGGGAACCACAAGCCTTTCTGGGCCTGGATTTATTTAGTGGGCCTTGAAAGAGCTGGTCCATTCGAGTATTCGACAAAGTCAAAAGTTATTAGGGAATTTGTAATTGATAACCTAAAATATTTGTTATGTTTATAAATAGTATTGGAGGCAGTACCTGGATTTGGTAAATATAAAATAAATAATTTTTATTTCGATTATTTTAGTTATTCCAATTTTTCTTCTCTAGATTTTCAAGTATATCAATCATATATTCCTATAATCATTGATATATCAACATTCAAGTCAAATATGCTATAAATATATCGATATTCATAACTATGTGTACTTAAGTACCCAACAAATTAGGTATATCAATGATATACCAACATTTGTATTAGATATAAATCAKAGATATTTAGGTCATAAAATATAATCATTTAAAATATAATCATAGATATTTAACAAAATATTGCAAGTCTTTATTTATTTATTTTTTATAGTAAAAGAMAAATTTAAATGCTCTCTCATTGGTTTGAGAAATTAGTCAACATGCATGTGCTTGCAGAGTTGCATTATATCTTTGTGATTAGCATTAGTCAAATTTAATTTGGCTTTGTCACATTACTTGAGCTTGTGAAAACTTTTATTTAATTTATATATTAATGTTGGACATGTAATCTAAGCAGTATTTGACTCGCTATTCTAGACTTTCTCATATGATTTTTCTTTGCTAATTGATTAATGGATCATATTAACATTATATCAAATTAAAAAAAGAAAAGAAAACAATTCTCACTCATAATTATTAGGATATTAATTAGTTAGTAATATTGTTCATTTTGCTAAGTTTTGGTAATAGTTGACGGTTTTTCTTGAGGTCTATATATATTGGTAAAGTTATCGAAGGAACATACAGAATTTATTTACTCTCAACAATTGTAATATGATATCAAAAGATACCTATCATTTTCTCTGAAAATTTGTAAAGGCCTTGTGTCATTTGTTTGGCAGTATCATGCATTTTTTTCTTACTTTTCCAACCTTCCTCCTTCGTGCCTTTCTCTTCCACCATGGATGACGATGAAGCACTTAATTCAATTGCTAGTTTATCTTCTTCTTCCTTGAACCAATCTTTTCTTGAACAGTACATCGATCTTTACCTTTGTCATCATTATTCGGACAATACAAGTCTTGTAAACATATGAATGTGGGACTCACAAGAAAACGTCACATAAAGCATACCAAAAAATTTAGACGGTTAACTTGAGCATAGCTCAGTAGTACTTGAGGCATAAAATGTAGAGGACAAAATTTTTAATACAGAAAAAAATAATTAATAAACATATGAATACTAAATCAAGTATTAGAATCAAATTTCTTATCAATCAAATTGTTTTTGACAAGTTATTACTACAAATAGAGATATATATATATATTAAAAAAAGGACTTAATAAAATGATGGAAGAAAAGTTTGTAATAAAAATGTATTGGCACGTGGGAGGGAAGAGATGATTAGAAAGGGTTTGTTTGGGTTTTAAGACAAAGTGTGGGGTGTAACAAACACTTTCCCCCCATTATTTGGAGGCCTTCATTCAACAAAACCATGTGCCTCACATGACAAAACTCCCCCTTCACTTTTTTTTTTTCTTTTTCATATTAATTGAAATTATTGCTTCCAATTATTAACTCAAACTAATGAGCAATTGCTGTTATGATTTGTCAAAAGGGATTTAAAAATATATGTTGGAATTTGTTTTTAGTTTCACTCGAAATGAGATGTCGTTGTCTATATTTTATACATCTTTCCTAATTCTAGTCGATGGGAGACAATGTTTATATATATTCCCTACTTTAAGTATACCTAAAATTTTGGTTAAGAAATAACGATAATAACAAAGTCAAAGATTTTATTTTCACTTGTTTTATCCAATTTCCATGTATCTTATTTTTCAAACCATCCAATTTCCTTAGATACACTCCTGTCTCCCCGTCAAAATTTAAAGTAGGTATTTGGCTTAAAAAGGCCAAACTTAAATATCAAAGAAGATTTGCCTACAGGATATATAATCTCATAATTAGGTACATAATTTCAAACTATATAAAAATTTTAATTACCTTCCATTTAACTTTTAGTTTCAATTTAGTCCTTCTAGTTTGGTTAAATTGTGTTTTACCCACTCTACAATCTACCTATTTCTTTCCATTTTTTATACTTAGTCCTAAAACCTGATACAATCAACTTATACTATTGAGCGAAAACATAAACTCATTACCACGTAAAAAAATCTATCAATATGGTAATGATAGAGATGATGATGTGAAATTTGTTTACCAGTGGGACCAAATTAAAAATTTTATAATCATACTTTACAAATTGAGACTAAACTCAAATCATAAGGAATTGTTGTAACGCAGATTGAAGCTATACCCAAAAGACAACTAAAATATGTTGTTTAAAGTAACTTTATGAAACCCACATTGTGTATATAACACACCCATTTTAACTAACCATAGACCAACAAATTAGACACAAGTAATACAGCTTAAATTTGTATACTTTTTATTTTACAGATTCAAATATAAACTATATAAACGTAGATTTAATACATATTAAAAAAGAAAAAAATAAGGAAAGGAGATACGCAAGATATTAAACTTCCATCGACGTATAGATATTTTTATATAATTTATGGGTTTGACATCAACATGAAAGGATGGATCGACATTTCCATAGTAACAAAGAAAGTAACAAAATATACCATATATCAATAAAATATTATTAATATTAATATTTTTTAACTTACTTCATCGACTCGACATTTTATTGATACTTGTAATCGAGAACGACATTTAAAAGGAGACAAGTAGATATGTCGTGTCGTTGTCGAACGACAACGACAACATGTTCTGCTTTTCATTTCCATTCCCTCCAGATTTACGGGCCCCCCTCCCTTTTCTTCACATTTTGTTTTTATTTTTTGATTTTCTCCGTTTAAGTTCAATTCATCCATTGGTTCACTCATCATATAAAATTTAATTCCACACCTTTCTTTTTGGCATCTTCATCCCACTCATTTATTTCGATTCCAACCATTTTTATCTTACCTTAAAAAAGCAAATTATATTCATAAAAAAAACAATTTGACATATATCTCAAATTAAGAGGTTCATGTTGTACTAAAAAAACAAAATATATTTCAAGATAATTAAATAGATGATACAATTATCATCATTTYAAAGGTAATAGTTTGATTTTTCTATCTCACGCATATGTGGAGAAGAAAAAAAGAGGTATTAAAATATTCCAAATTTTGAAACAGAATTATGATCTTTGTTCTAGAAAAACTTTTCTTTTTTTACAAAAATATAGTAAGAAAAAGATGATAATGACCCCATGATTTAATTATGGCCAGAAAAGTTCAAAACTATAACATTTTGAAAGGAATTATTTTTAATACATTAGAGGCACAGAGGAAACCAGTAATTTTTTATCGAACTTAAAGACTCGTTAAGAAAAATTAAATTCTCTTATTATTTTTCATAAAATTGAATCAAATATTGATTCAGGAATAGGGATTCCCTCTTTATCCTCCATCTAGCTAGAAAGAGTATATGTTAAATTCATTCTGTATCGTACAAATTCTACTTGTGTAGAAGGTATTTCATTTTGATTTTGTTATCATGAGGAAAAAGAATGTACNATTGCATGAAGGAGAAAAGTGAAAACAAAAGTACACATTAAATAGGGCAGGTGGATTGTATGATTTTTCCCCCTTGTGGTCTTGCTTTTGTGCTTCCACATTTGTACAAAAAATGAATATGCTCCCTCCCTATTATAGGAATGGGAAAATGCATCTTTTTTTATCTATAAAAATATGCATGCCAATATTTTTTTATCATTTAGTTTATTTAAATATGTTGAATTTGATATTGTTATGCCTTTGAATATCTTATCAAGTAAGGGATGTGSATGTATACTCGAAGCAATTAAAAAAAGAAAACATTCCAACATATTAATCTGACCATAGTTCAAGTGGTTAAGACCAATGAAAAATTAGCCTSTAAACAAGCCCACGGCCCAGAGAACACTTCCTCGGGTAATCAATGAAAAATTAGGAATCATTTTAAATTTTGTTTAGAAAGGGAAAATTTTTATTTGAATATTCAGTAATTGAAGTTATTGACCAGGGAAAAGCAAGTATAAAAGGGCATTATCCGAAGCAATTTTTGATAGTGACATTTTACAATTAAATTATTCAACGTGTTGAGGGTGCACATAAATACATAGAAAAAATTGCTCTATTACATTTCACCAATCTTGTAGTTGACTTCAATAATAAATGTGTCGAATCAGACATTACATTACGAATTACTCCATCATTAATTAGTGACACTAACCTGTTTGGTTAGTGGTTGATTGGTTTGATTTTCATCTAAAATCGAAATATAACTAATTGATCTGGTTCCATTTAGTTCAATTTTGGTCAAGTTCACACTGGGTTTGAGATGGTTTTCAAAATTTCCAGAAAAAAAATAAAAGAAGTTACAAACTGGATATTTGAACATATATGAACAAAATTAGTCTCCAATACATTATATCTGCATGCAAAAAAACCAATTGTAACCATGTTCAATTGATTTTATTCCTTTTTAATTTTGTGTCAGATTACAACTCCAAATCATTTTCAAATGCAAAGTCTATAATGCTGCCTTAGTTCAGAACCAAAAGCCAGAGTTGAAGACAACAAAAATCAAATCAAAAGAAAGAAAAGATCTGGCCCAAGCAATCAAGAAACAACACTTCAAAATGAACACCACACAAGGGTATGTTAAAGCGGGGGCGACCTTTTAGAATTCAGAATTCAAGGACGCGGTTGTACAACTTATAGAGCAAATCCTGTTCAAGTAAGGCAACAAGGCCGTGACATATTAGAGAGTAATTTTAGCATGGTCAAATCACTCTTGCCATTTTCCAAAACTAATATCATGGCAAGACRTTACTATCTTAAAATAGAAGTAATTTTGGCAAGTAATTTTTGAAAATGACAGTGAAATCACTCCCAATGAGCTGAAATTTCAAAATGGCAAACCACCAAATCGTCTATAGCAAACTTTACAGTACATTAATGAGCAAATCCTTCAACCACAATTCAGGCAAAAAAGGGCCGCCATGTCTATTAATGTGAATAACTTCAACTCGATAAATATACTAATTTTGATGCTGAGATGCATTGCACAGTCACATGGAAATATAGAAATTTTATATGGACCAGACGTAGGCAATCTTAGCTGAAATAAATTAGAGTTGAGGAGAGGTAAAGGAGTTTGGAGTGGCAGGATGTGAATATGGGGTTCGTCTGTACTAAAGAAAGAAACATCCAGAAGTCCTTGCGGATATCAATAACAAGAATTGATGGGAACCTCACAGGAAGTAACACCATCAAGCCATACATATGATCACAGAGTATTAACTAATCTACTTTTAAATACTAAATGAAATCTCTACACTTGTGCTATTTCCACTTAAATGGAAGATTATTTTACCACCAAAGCAAGGCAAGAATTACAAAGACACCAACAAGCAAAAGGAGGTTTTTCAGTACGTTATCAGCATGCTGACCTCGAATTGGCGGTTGAGGAAAATGGTGGCCATGACCCCCATGGAATGTATTGAAAGCATAGGGATAACCAGAAGTAGTTCCATAAACTGTAGCATCAGGAAATCCATGAAACTGTATGTTGAATAAAGATGGGATCAGCCCACCAAAAGCAGTAGCCAAAGTGAAGTTGCCAATCCTTGCTGTTGCCATTGGCATAAACCCACCAGTGAATCCAAACCCGTAGTTTGCAAAGTCATTGGCAACAGGGGGAGGTGCAGTTTGAGGCCTTTGCCCAGCAGGGCGATTGGGAACGTCAATACCGGGATATCTAGTTAATCTTGGGTCAGATGGTATCTTTCCCCTACCATAAAGGGGAACCAACTTCTCCTCCTGAACAACAGCCTTACAAACTGGACATTCTTGGGAATGCGAGTGATAGTGCAGCCATCTATACAGACAGGGCCAGCAATAGAGATGGCCGCAAAGAGTGATAATTGGATCTTGAGCTAACTCGAAGCAAATATTGCATTCGAAATCACCAGTGTCATTGCTGCTGCTGTCACTGTTAATGGAACAAAAGGGGTTTTGATGTGGCACGCTTGTTGATTCTCCAAACTCGTTCGCCATTCTAATTTGCCGCCCAATATCAGTAGCTACAGCCTACAATCRCCGTCACCAAACGAAACAAATCAGAACAAGATTTAACAATTTCATACTATGAAGATCGAAAGCATAGTTGAAACCTAACAAAAATCCCAAAAACATGCTAACCAAGTAAGATCGGTTCTTCAATCCAGTGTGGATAGAAAAAAACAAACAAACGCGGTTCAATTTCTACTGAAAAGACAAAATAAATATCTCGGGTGGGTGATCCAGACCACACAAAAGGACAGACAAAAACAAAAATAAACCCCCAATTATGTATCCTAATCCAACACGCAAAGTGTAAACCGAATTGGTAACAACAATACATAGAATGCAAGAGGAAATGAAAAACGAACAAAGAGATCGAAGAAAAACAACTGAAATTCAACGGTAATAGAGAAGAGAGTGTACGAACCTTGAGAAGAAGGAAATCGGAAATCGCGAGAACACGATGGCGAAATCAACTCGGAAGAAAAGCGTTGGTCCTCCGGAAAAGGCAGAATCTGCGAAATCAGGAACTCCCGAAGAGAGGAGAAGAAGAATCGAGATTCCAATTTTCAAGGGCTTTGTAATATTTAATAATCTTTTCTTTAGAAATTATTATTAAATTGCCTAGTCGACGGATAACAACGCGTAAGTTACGTCGTCTCCGTCATGTACGACAAAACGCTGCGTTTTGAAGTCTACGAATCCGACGGCTCCTATTATTCCATCTTTCAGAACTCCTCGCTTCGATGAAATTTGTTTTTACAATTTAATTATTGCTGCCAATAGGTATGGGAAGCCTCACATTTAATATGTTATATAGATTCTTATTGTTATCTGTTTATTTTATTTTCATTTTAGTGTAGGACTATAAATGTAAGTTTAGAATATCAAATAGTTAATCAAATTATTTATAGAAAATAATTATTAGTCAATCAGATATTTAGTGATTAATGAATTTTTTTATTACTAATACACACTTATCTTTCTATTTAATTCAATATTTGTTGTTGATATACACAATTTTTTTGAAATTATATTGGGAAAAACCCCAAAATAAATGAAAATTCATTTGAAAAAATGCCACTTTGTCTTTTGAGTTGCTGCAAGTGGTTTCGAACTCACTTTTTTTATTTTTTCTTAACATGCAAACCTTTCAAAATTCCCTTTGAAACATTCTTCTATATTTCAAATTAATTTTAGCTCTTTTTTTACAGTAAAATTAATTTTAACTCTTAAACTTCTATCTCTCAAGTCTCAACTCTACGTAAAGTAAGAAAAATAAAATTGAGATGATATAGAGGTACTATATCGAAACCCTTGACAAACCTTTACTTCTGTCCAAAAATAAAAAATAAAAAACAAAAAACAAACTTTTACTTCTGTCCAAAAAATAAAATAAAAAACAAAAAACAAACTTTTATCGTCTTTGTCTCTTTTTTTCTTTTTTAATATAATATTTATAGGTGGAGATTCGAACTCACAGCCTACCTTAACCTTAATCAATTGGGTTATGCTACTGTTAGCCAATAATTATCTACTAAATTGATAAAGAAAGGCCAAAAATTAAGGTATTAACCATCTCACTTAAAAAATGTCTTTTAATTTTAGTATAACTCAATTAGTTAAAGTATTTATACAATCATCTTAAAATGTTAACGGTTCAAATCTCCACCTTCACATTAAACTTAAAAAAAAAAAAAAAACAGGTAAGCTAAGTGACATCTATTTAAGGAACACATCAACGTCGATATCAGAAGAAAAAAAATTGAAACCAATCAAATCTATTAAAACAAAGTTTGTCAACTGCCCTTTTTTATTTAATAGTTTAGATAATCGAATTGGCCTACCATCATAGTTCGAATTGAATTGTAGGTATCATTGTGGCCAACAATTTTATTAACCAAGCGATTGAGCTATCTTTAACTATCAAACCAAACAAACATGTTAGCTAAACAATCTACTAACTGGTTAGCTAATTATATTTACAAGCAGTCTCAAGAACCAACATTCACCTAAATGCACTATAAGAGTAACCGAGTCCATCTAAATGCACCACATTCATCTAAATTCATGCTACAGTACATGCTTGTACCTTAAACGTTACAATACCCCAAATCTATCTGTAGAGCTTAACATTCTCAAACTATAGATACCGAACCCGCACTCCAAACGTCCCCTAAAAGCCATCGAACATGAAACTCGAGGGGAACTTTATCATGGGCACATATATGGCAAGGAAAATGAGCTAATATTACGTGACACCTAAGAATGAGTCATAGTAGGACACAATGTCTGGTGAGGCCAACTATAATATGGCATGAGGCCCCATCTACAATGCAAAATGTCACCCATCAAATCATAGCGCACACATTTACATTATTTTTAATCCCTGAATGTTAAATATTTAATTATATACTTTATTGAGGATAATTTTGGGTTTGAAAATGGAGGCCCATTTAACTCTTTAAATTGATGTCCATTACCTTCTGAATGCGAAATCCAATATAATAATAAAATTAGTTAATATCAACCGAGCTTAATGATTAAGGTTTGTCTTTATTGTGAATGAATGGCCTGAATCAACACCTCGTATTATTTTATATCTTTTAAATAAATTACTGTAAAAGATTATGACTTCGAATATCACACGTACGTACGTGTTGTACTAAAATAAATTATAAAAGAAGACAGTAAACAGCATAACACACTAAATTAGAGATTATTATAATTATAGTTAATTAATAAGTATCAAATTAGTTGGTAGCTTCATTCCAAAAATAAAAAAATTAAAATAGTTGGTACTAATTAATAAGTATCAAATTATTTGGTAGTTTCATTAAAAAAAAAAATGTTGGTAGTTGGTTTATCATCATAATTGGATTGTTAATGTAATTTTACATGGTGGTAGGTGGATCGCAGGTACTGATATTCTAATTTTTTTWAAAAATCAATCAGTGGTTATTGATTTTTCTATTAAAAAGTACTATATATATAGTTTGCTTTTATAGGACATACACATATTCAAAACATAGTAATACAGAGAAAAATGATGAATTATCTGTTAATTATAAATAAAAAAATTTAAAATATTATTTTGGTAATATATGCATCTCATGATCTTAATCTCTAAACTTAAAAAATTATTCTATTTTTGTTATTAAACTTTTAAAATTTTTAGTAAAAAGTATGTAGAAAGACACGTCATAAATTATTAAACAGAAATGGACGCGAAGTTTGAGGCCGTGGCCCTCCCTAGTCTCAGTTTTGGGGTGTAAATAATATGTGTCCATGTCTCTTTATTGCTAAAGCTCATGTTTCCAAATTTAATAATTGTAAATTATGGGACCTAAATCCAACATAATATCGCACCATCCATCCACATATGCCTCAAGTATATTTTATGTTTTTTTTCTTAAACTAAATTATAGCGGGGACATAAATTGATTGAACTAAAATCACATGTGCCACAAATCAATTTGTTTAGTCTAATGAATTATTCAAACTGAATTGATTATTTTTTTTTGTATAACATGTGGAGGTGGGGAACAAACTCACAATTTCATGGTTTGAAATATATATTAATTACCGTCGATGATTAATTATTGAAGAAGGACCAAATCAATTTAAATACATTTCGTTTAATTAATTTTTATTTATTTATATAGGTTGGTTGAAAATACAACATAAAATCATCCAGAAATTTTGAAATGAATGCAATTAATTTGAATGAAATACCTAAGGCCTGAAATGTTAGGAAATCTTTAAAATAAAAAAAAAAAAGATTTGATATCACTAAAAATTCAATGAAAATAAACAAATCATCGCATAATTAGTAACAATCTAAAAAAAAGTTTGGATTAAAAAAATGTCACTTCGCACAAAACGTTGAGGTGTATTTTAATATGTTAGGCATGCTTGCAAAAGAAAAATGAAACATTGGTTACATAAATAAATAATTCTATACAGTTAGATTTCACATAAAATTATTATATTAGTTCAAGTTCATCACCATCTCACCGCAATTAATTAGTTTGATTTAGTTTGTAGAATCCATAATCATGCGTGGAATAAAATTGGGACGCTTACTAAACCACTCATATTTCACGGTTCTAAATTTGATAGTTCTTTATTTTTTGAAAAAATAGAAAAAATATCTCTTTCTTTTATTTTTACATTTCTGTTTTTTATATATCAAAGCTTTAATGCGGTATATATTACCGATTGTAGTTGCAGTTAGTTGATTATTTCTGGTATATCTTTGATCACTTATTTAATTTTTCACATCCGTGTAAGTGTATTTTGACCTATAAATAAGTCTGTGTTATCTTTAATAAAAAGGTGGAGA